TATTATATATATATTATATTGGAATACAAACCATGGACATGGATAAAAAAATACACGTTCATCTTCATCAAATTCCATATCTTCAATATCTACTTCATCATAAAATGAAGTTGAATCACTAGTTGTTGTATGTGCTATAATTCTAGGTTTACCATCTTCATTTACTATATTGTTTAATCTTTCTGCTAATTTTTCATCGATAACAATAGAATTGGTTTCTTTTTTAACAGAGTTTAATGTATTGAATACTGGTGTATTATTATTATTGTTTTTATCGTCTTGTTTAATTTCAATACTCTTTATGTCTTCTGTTAACTTTTCTATGATATCTTTATTATTATTATTTTCATCTATATTATTGCTGTTATTACTGTTTGTATTATTATCATTTAAAACTGTCATTTTTATTTATATTTATATTATTTATTTGTTTTTATTTTCAATATTATTTTATACAAGTTATAATTATTTAATTTATATACAATATAATATAATATCGATTATTAAGAAATAAACTTTTTAAACAATTAAAAAAAAAAAAATATTTTTAAATTTTATTTTTTTTTATTTTTTTTAATTTTATTTTTTCGTTTTTTTTAAAAAAAGTTAAATTGACGGATATTATAAAAGAAATAAAATTATTTTAGTAACTATTAAATATTTATTTCAATTTCTTTGTATTAAAAAATGAAATTAATTGAAATATTTAATAAATTTTAATTTTTTAAAATGAGAAAAAAAAGAAAAAAAGTTTTCAAGTGTTTTTCCCAAATCTTTTTAATTTAATAAAATTGAACATTTAAAAATAAGAAACACAATTTTGTTATTTTAATGAATATTATTTACACTTTAAATATATCAAAATAATTGAGATTTAATATTGTAACTAAATATATTAATATTAATTTTTAATTTAACTTTTATTTAACCAAATAATAAAATCTTTTTATTTTTTTATTTTTTAATTTTTTTAATTTTTTTAAAATTTAAAAAAAAAAAAAAAAACGATCATTGTTTTATCATTTTATATATACAATAGTTTAGTTTATAAAATGGGTAGAAGATCACACAAACAAGAATTACATAAAAAAAAAGTTGAGATTAGTCAAACTATTTATTTACCACGTTCTTGGGACTACTATGAAAGATTTAAACAACCATATTTTTATCCATTCGAATTCAGCCAAATAGAAATCAAACAATCCGAATTGGGTGATATCAAAATCAATGCAACTCTTTGGGATACAGTAATTATAATAATATTAGGTATACCATGTATATGTATATATAAATACTAATTTATTTGTTTTATTAATAGGCAATTGTAATGTCAAAATTTTTTGAATTAGAAATTGGTAGAGATGGATTAAAGGGTAAAAGAATTATAGAGTTGGGTAGTGGTGTTGGTTTGTTGGGTGTTGTATTATCACTTTTAGGGGCAGATATTATTATTACAGAACAAAAAAGTATGCATGGTATTTTAGAGTATAATGTTAAAAAGAATTGTAAAGATCTCAGCAAAACCAAAGTTCAAGAATTGTGGTGGGGTGACAATATATTGGATTTTAAACCACCATTTGATATGATTGTTGGTTCAGATTTAATTTATGAAGATCATTGTATTGATCTTTTATTAAAATCATTAATGGATCTCAGTTCATTCCATCCAAAACCAAAGAGCAAATACAGCGATATCATCGATCAATTAGATGAAAATGGTAATATACCTGAAAACTTATTAGAGAATTTAAAAATCAATAATGACAATGAAGAAGAAGAAGAAAATGACGAAGAAGAGGAAGAAGAGGTAGAAGAGGAAGAAAAAGAAGAAAAAGAGGATTTAGATGAAGAAGATAGAGATGATTTAGAAGAGGATAATAAAAAAGAAAATATATATGACAGCAATTTCCAATATAACAAAGAGATCAAAAAGAAATATAAAAATAAGAAAATAAAAGAAGATGATGAAGAGTTAAAAGGCGAAGATTATTTGGTTTCTTCGTCATTGCTTGAGCCAAACCCAGATACTGTAATTTACTTAGGCTATGAACACAGAGAAATGAATGCTGAATCAATTTTTATGAATAAAGTTAACAAATATTTCCACGTTGAAACTATTACAACAAAGCATTTAAATCCTGGTTTTTCTGGTGTCGATATTAGAATTTTGAAAATGAAGAAAATAAAACAACAACCACCACAAGAAGAAAAAGATAAAGAGGAAAATAAATAAATAAATAAAAAACTTTTTTTTAGTTTTTTTTTAAAATTATTTTTTATTTTATTATTACATTTATTAATTTACAATTAAAATTATTATTAAAACTAAAATAAATTTTAAAATTTGATTTGATTCTAATTTTGGAGCTGCAGATTCGCTGGTTTGGTTGTTTTTGTCGGCATACCATATTTTATTTATAACCAAGGATCTCGAAGGCTCAACGAATGGCTTGATGGGCAATTGGAAGCAATTAAAGTTTGATACGTAGAATGAATCTACTTTATCGATACTAACATAAGCTATTTCTTGAAGATATGGAACTTTTATACCGTATTTACCAACAGCAGGTGATTTGAAATGTACATCTGAAACTGGTACATATAGTTTGTTTAGTGGTGTATTTCTAGCGCTGACATATTGACAATGTTGCATCAATGTATCGAAATAGCTTTTGCATATGGAAAGTGGTTTGCCGTGTGTTATATTGGTGTTGACTAGCGATCCATTTACAATATCTTTTTCAACTACAGTTTCACTATCTAAAAAAAATAATGGTACCTTTCCTTCTACTCCAAGCAATCTATAAATACTGGGGTCTAAATCTCTAAGGATAGTTCTATGGTCTTGTGAGCATCTAAAACATTGAATTTTAACCAAATGATCCAAACAAGTCTTAACACTGTCTCTTGTATCATATACAAATAATATTTGTTCGTCATCCTCATTGTTTTTGGTTTTATTTGGCTCAATCAAGTCTGGTGTTGTACCGTCATCATTTACAATTTTAAATCCACCTTCTAATGTTTTATTATTTGTTAAATCTATTAAATTGCCAATAACCTGATCTGACCATATATAATTAATTGCTTTATTAAATGATTCTTTATTACTATTTAAACAACAACTTAAATTTCTTAAATCTGATCCATCATGTAATAATGAACAGTTGCTTGGTAAATATGACTATGTTTTATATTGAAAAAGAAAATTTAGTTGTGTGGTTCTTTTTTTTTTTAATTATTTTATGGATACCTACAATTGAATTCTCTTTTTTAACTGAATGTGGTTTATAAATATATGAGTTATTTACTAAATATAATGACTGGTTATTTGTATTACCATAGCATAGAAATGGAATATTTTCCACTTCATCTGGTACGTCTATAAGTGTATTAAAGGTACTTGAGGAATCCAACGACCCTGAATCCTCATTTTGGCAAAATATAAAATTGAATAATACTGTGAAAATAAATACAATATTAAACCATTTTATTATCATTGTTTTTATTTTTATATTATTTAGCTAATTAAATTATTTTATTTTTATTTGTGTTTATTTATTATCTGCTTTTTAGTATAATTAAAATAAAAAATAAAAAAAAAAAAAAAAAACTAAAATAAAATTAATTTTAATTTAAAAAAAAATAAAAAAAAAAAATATTTTTTTAAATTTAGGAATTTATATAAGGTTATAAATTTATTTTCAAAGATAGAATTGTTTATTTTTTTTTGAAAAAAATTTATATGTTTTTTTTTATTTCTATTTTATTACTTGGAATTTATTATAGTTCTGTTTAATATATAATGTATATTTTTTAATTATTATTTTATTATTATTTTTTTTAATTTTATTTCAAATTATTTTAAAAAAAAAATTTATTATTTTAATTTTTATTTTTTTTTTTTAAAAACGAAAAACTTTTTTTTTTTATTTTTATTTTTTTTTACGATTTATTTTTTTGGAAAAGTGGTAATAAAATGACAAGAACTAGACAATCAATTGCAACACCAAAAAAAGAAGCAGAATTAATTGAGACATTATCAAAAACATCAAGAAAGGATGGTGCTATCGATTTAAAATCAATTTTAAAATTACAAAATACTCCAAAAAGAAAAAGAGCTCCAGCTAAAAAATTAGCCGAAGAGAAACCAAAAGAAGAAGAAAAACAAGAAGAAATTAATGAAACACCAGTAAAATCAACCACACCACAAAAACAAACTACCCCAAAAGCAGCAACACCAAAAGTTGACTCACCAAAAGCAGCCTCACCACAACCACCACAACCAACACCATTAACACCAAAATCAAATAAAAAAACTCCGGTTCAAAATAAAACACCAATTAAAACTCCAGTTAAAAATGAAAATCCAACAGCATCATATCCATTAACTCCAACACAAAATGATGACGATTCAAATAATTACGATGATGAGGACTCAACCGAACCAATTAAAATTCAAACTGTTACTCCAATAAAAGAAAACAATAATAAAAGAAAAGAAACTGGAGAAGAAATCAAAACCTCAGTTCAACAAAAAAAACTTAAATCGGATCCAAGAGTAGATACACCATTGCCAGTTTCAAAATTAAATAAACCATCATTTGAATTTAAAGTACCAGAAGTAAGACAAATTTCAAAACCAGCAGCAAAAGAAAATACTAAAACTTTAAAGGAATCTAAAGATACTAAAGAAATTCCAGATAAACAAACACCAGGAAAAGAAACATCAAAAAAAACCCCAGCAAAAGAAACTCCCAGCAAAAAAAAAACTCCGGCAAAGGGAAAACTCCAGGTAAAAAGAGGTAAAAAAAAACTCCAGCAAAAACAAAACTTCCAGCAAAAGAAAGTTAATTCAAACCTCCCGGCAAAAAGAAGGTTAAATCAACTCCCGGGAAAAACAAACTTCCGGCAAAACAAACTCCAGCAAAACAAAATTTCCGGGAAACCAAATTCCCGGGAAAAGAGGGGTTAAACCAACTTCCCGGAAAA